AAAGATGTCATTAATTATCATTAAAATTTAAGTGTTATGACATAAAGGTCTATATATACTATTGTTATTTCCAAATTTATAATTTAAATTATAACAAAATTATTTTTTTATTTTTTTTTTTTATTATTATTATTATAAGAATCAAATTATAGAATTGTAGAATTAAACATCAAAATATTATTTTACAGTGATAGGTATTTTTAATTGTGCAAATAATATTATTAATTTTTTTTTTATTTTATCCTCTCCTTTTTTTTTTTTGAAGATAAATGCATAATTTGTATTTTTGGAGTTTTCCGTTTGAAAAAAATTAGAGGAAATGCTCAATTATTAACCTTAGATGCAGTGTATATATGTAACATTTTATTAATTGATTATATTTTAATAATATTTGTATATAATAAATTTACAAAATTTTATAATAAAAATTAAAGTAAAATATCTTTAAAGAAACTTTTTTTCTTGAATTTTTTAACATATATTATTTTTACTTTTTATATTTTAATTATTTTATTTTTTTAAAATTAGGAATATTAATTGTATCTAAAAATATATAAAAATTTATATAAAAATAAAAAAGTAACTATAAAAACTTATTTCTTATTAAAAACATATTTTACATCTTAAATAAAAGATAATAAACATGAGAGATTATATTCATTCAAATATTATTTTAAATTCTATATGCAATTCTCATACAGAGGAAAATTTTGTTATTGAAGATATTTCATCTTTAAAAAAATATCGTACAAGAGGGAAAATAAACAAGTTATTTTTTTTTATAAAAATTTTTTTATTTACCCTACTAATTTGGATATTACATTATTGTGAAAATGTAGATGATAATAAAACTTATAAATTTTTTTTTTTATTTTTTATTGTTTTTTTTAAATTAAAATTTTTTTTTTAAATATTTATCGTTTTACTTTTATTTTAGTACAGTTACAGATCTTGGAATGATAAATACAACCTAAAAAACAAATTAGATTTAGGATCTAAAAGATCTTTAGCCGAAGGTAAGGAAGTAATAGAGCCAAAAAAAGAAGAATTAAAAGTAAGTTCATCGAATATACAAATAAATTTAGAAGAACATAATACAAAAGTTGAAAAATTGAAATTAAAAGAGGAAGAAAAGGATAAAAAGGAAATAATAAAAATAGAAAATGAAAATGTAGTAGAGAAAAAAAGAGATAGTAATAAAAAAGTAAATAGTTTGCATCTAATGCAAAAATACAAAAAAATTTTGAGATTATTTAACTTGGTTTCTCTTGTTACATTACCAATTTTGTCAATGACACTATCTATTATAGCACTTTATAAAAATGATTACGATAATAAATATGTTAACGGAACCAATGTTGTAACTTCTTTATATCTTGTGTTAAATTCATTTCTTTTGTTGGATTTAAAATCAAATAGCAATAATATGTAAAAGCAAATTATGAAAAATTTTTTTAAAAAAAATTGTCCTCTAAAAGAAAATTTCAGGATATAGAAGTTAATAATATCTTAAATATTATTATGACTTCTAACATAATGTCATAAATAGGTAAGTTTAATTTATTCATTGGATTATATGTAAAAATTATATTGTTTTCTAGTAAAGATATACTATTTATTGATTCTTCAAAATTTCCTCTTTTAGTTTGTCCGTTGTAGTAAACTTTTAATATATGATGAATTACATTTTAATATATATATATATAATGTGTTATTTTTTTATTAATTAAATTAATATTGTAAAATAATTAGAAGAAATATGTTTTTTTAAAAAATTCATTTTTAAGTTCTAGAAAAACTTTCTAATATAAAATATACTGTAATATATTTTCACATAAATTTAATGATAAATAATTCACATATGACCTATATCTTATAGATAATTATATAGATACTTTGATTCCTATTCTGAAATTATAATAGATATAGCTATGTCTAATTGGTGAATCAATTTGTGATTTTATGATGAAAATACTACAAGTATTTTCATACTCTAGCCTTAAATCACATTTTAGTTTTTAATTTTGAAGTTTTAAATTTTATTCTAAATTGAATATGAAAATATATTAATAATTTTTTAGTAAATTTATATAGATGATTTTTTTTTTTTTTTTTTTTTGTATAATATTTAGTAATTAATATATTGCATAATAGAAATTTATTACAAATATAATAAGTAATTCATTCCCGTGAACATTTAAAAATATAGCTTTTTTATCATTAATTAATTAGTTTTAAAAGAAATTGAAATTATTAAAAAGCATTAATAATTACTTCATAATTATAATAATGAATATTTATCTTTGTACAACAATAGATGGTTGATTCATTAGCTAGGTGTTCGGTGACTTTGCTAAAGTACTGAACAAACAAATTAATAAAGAGCATGTAGAGTTGCCTCTACAATTTTTCATTAATTTATATATATTTTTAAATTCTTTGAACGAGTGATCCTTAATTATGTGATCTTCTTCGTTCAGCATTCTTTAATTTCAATAGGTATTTATTCACTTTAACAAAAATCTTTATTTTTTATTAAAAATTTATATCCTTATTGAATATTGATCATTAATTAAATGTATATTACTTATTTTTTTGTTATGATTTATGTCCAGCAATTTAAACATATTGCTGTTAAATTAACAAATATAAACAACTAGGAAAATGCAAATTAATTATATGAATAATATTTACGTGAAAATTTTATTATTATATGTATAAAATTTTCTCTTACAAATTTAAAATATAAATACTATGAAAATTAAATTCTTTTGTATGTTTAATACCTCATTCTTATTGGTAAGAAATATTTTTCTAATTGATTTTTAACCAATTTTTCTACACTTTTTTTTTCTTCTTAAAAAAAAAATAAATATATTTTTTTTACATTTTTGAATTTATAAAAAGAAAACAGAAAACAATTAATAAATTTTTTTTTTTTTTTTTTTTTATTTGCGCGTGCATGATTAACTAATATTCTTCATATAGCTAGTCCCTTTTATTTTCGAAAAGGTTAATAAAGCCTTTTATTAACCAAGTATTGAATAAACTTAATAAAAATCATATTAAGTTTACCCTACTATTTTAATTTATTCAAATAATACATTAATTCTATAATTGGTTAACAAAAGGCTTCATTAACCTTTTTGGATATAAAAGGACTAGCTATGTGGAGAATACGTAGTTGCGCTAACTAAAAAAAAAAAAAAAAAAAAATTATTTGAATTTTTTTTTTTGAGATATGTTTCTTTTGAAAAAGATAAAGATAAAAAAAAAAAAAAAAAATAAAAAAAAAGATTTATTATTTTTTTTTGGGGGGAAAGGAGATTTTAATGGAGAGACAGATTTTCTTTTTTTACAAAAGGTAATAATGTTTTTATAAAGAGTTTAATTTGCATAATATTTATATTTTTAATTTATGAGAGAAAATTTTATACATATGATAATAAAATTTTCACGTAATTAATATTAATATAGTTTATTTTCATTTTTACTAATTGTTTATGTTTGTCAATTCAACAGCAATATATTTAAATTGCTGAACATAACTCATAGCAAAACAATAAGTAATTTACATTTAATTAATAGTCATTATTCAATAAGGATTTAAATTTTTAATAAAAATATGAATTTTTATTAAAGTAAATAAATACCTATTGAAATTAAAGAATGTTGAACGAAGTATAGCACATAATTAAGAATCACTCGTTCAAAGCATATAAAAATATATATAAATACAACAAAATCATAGAGGCATCTCTACATGCTTTTTATTAATTTGTTTGTTCATTACTCTAGTAAAATCAAAGAACACCCAGTTAATAAATCAACTTTACAGTTAGATAGTTTATTATTGATTCGATAAAAGATCTTCATAATATTATCATGAGTCAAATTAATAAAGGACAGAAATAGTAATCTTCACTAATTTTAACTAGTCTTGTTGCTCATTTTAATGAGAAATCATATTTAAATTTATGTGTTTAATTATTTAAAAATATTTAAACCCTTTAATATGACGCTTAAATAATATATATGAAACATTATAAGCAAATATAAGCATAATATTTTTAATAAAGGTGTTTCTCAATAAATTATATTTATTCTTAAATATTTTTATCTCCTTCCTTGTGTATCTTCTTTACTTTTTCGTTGAATATTTTTAGCTGTTTATATTTATTCCTACAAAATGTGTACCTCTTTTAATTTTATTATTTTTAATAAAATAAAGATTAATGAACATAACAAATAATAAAAAATTAAAGGTTATATATTTATATATACATATTAGAACAAAAACATGTTTATTTTAATTTTGTTTTAATAAATATAGAATTCTTAGAATTGCATGTAATTTTTCTTTGTTTATTTACATTATTTTAGTTTGTATGATTTTTAATCAGGAATTTAGGAAACAATGTTTATATTTACCTGATTAGCACAAAGACAATTTAATACTAATAACATCACACAAGGTGACTTCATTTCCTTTCATTTCACTTCACAATTGAGACCAAGGTTATTTGTCTATAAGACAGATGCTTGGCAGGAATGAGATCTAGCCAGGAAAAAGGGAAACTGAAATTATGGAATCTTATTCTTGCTACTGAAATTGAATTTCTGTGTGGCCTTGGGTAAGTCAATTCAACTGTCTGTGCTTCAGGTCTCAGCTTCTTCTGTGCAAATCAAAATGTATTACCTAGCTAGATGCAATTAAGCTTGAAAAATACTTTGAATTCTTCACTCAGAACATCTAATAAAAATGTAAAGTTTTATCACAGACTACTATCCTTATTCTACATTAACCTTTCCCCAGTTAAGGGAAACAATTTTATTACTAATTTAAAGGTCACAGGTCAGAAAAAATAATGTGACATTTTAAGACATTCTGCTTTCTGTAGATGAGTGAAATTTATTTCAAAAGTATATACTTTGTAAAGTTATTACATATAAATTTCTAAACACTGCTTCAAAATAGAACGCAAAAAAACTGAGAACATATGACCTACAATTTCCTGTTTCCTCCTTACCAAAATCGATCAGAGAAAGTAGAGGAAGAAACAGGAATTGAGAAATAATGTGAAAAAAATAGTCATACAATTCTGTTTTCATGGTGACTTATACTTGCTTCTTTTAGAGAGGAAAACAAGAAATCAATGAAGAAACAAAAGAACACGGAAAACAAGAAATCAGTGAAGAAACAGAAGAACATGGAAAACAAGATATTAAAATGAAAAATGATGATGATAAAGAAGAAACATTTCACTCTTATCAAAACAAGAATGATACATTAATTAATGAACATCAAAGTGGTGATAATATGAATGGAGGAAAACAAGAAATCAATGAAGAAACAAAAGAACACGGAAAACAAGAAATCAGTGAAGAAACAGAAGAACATGGAAAACAAGATATTAAAATGAAAAATGATGATGATAAAGAAGAAACATTTCACTCTTATCAAAACAAGAATGATACATTAATTAATGAACATCAAAGTGGTGATAATATGAATGGAGGAAAACAAGTAATCGGTGAAGAAACAAGAGAACATGGAAATAAAATTCTAATAACAATTCATATAAAAAAAAATTCTAAAATTATATTCTTAGTTAAAAAATGTGCTATTAATCTTTTTAAATATCTTAATTTTAATATAATGCAGATAATCAATACGCATGTAAAATATTTAAGAAAATACCTTATCAATCTAACTAAAAATACTATCGCGTAGTTATATATATAATATAAACAATTTTTTAATTTTTTTCCTTGAATAATGTTTTATTTTTTTAGTGTTGATGTAGTTAATAATTTTTTTTTTCTTTTTACTAATTTTTTTTTATGGATAACTGAATTTAATTTGAAAAAATTTAATTATCATCCATTTTTGATGAATAATTATTTTTCTCTCATTTGTTGATTAAGTACTTATTTTATAGAGAATTGTTAATTTATTTAAACAAAGATTATTTTATATATATTTATAGATGTTTATATTGAGAATTTTTTCTTAAATTAGATAAATACATCCTATAAAATAGTTAATGAGTTCAAAATAATAAAAACCCTTCAGTGTGCTGAGATTCATACTTCATTCTCATTCTGTGAGTACCGAATTTACTTTTCTTTCAGCTGTGATGTTCTGAGCAATCACCTGCCTAATCTGATCTGCCTAAAGTAATTCTGAGGAAGCAGTTACAAGGGCATATAAGTACAACTTTGTGTCAGACATTACTCTAAAATGGGAAAATACGGTCTGTTGGAGGAAAAATAAAAAGCTCTGGCTTATTTGTTGTATTTGTTATATATATTTTACCTACAATAATCATTTGTAATTATTTGAATTATATGCCAAATTGAGAGAGGATGGAATACTTCATGTGCTATGTTAAGAAAAAAAGCACAAGAAAGACATGAGTAAGACGACTTGAGAAATACCTTGTCAATGAGGTCAGTGTTAGCAGAGGAATATTCATCAGAAGAAAACAAAGGAAGCTCTCCTGCTTGAATATCTTAAAACTGAGCTAGACAAATCTCTTGAAAAATAGATGAAAAGAGATGAACAGGACATTTGAATTTCCAGGTGCACATGATTGATCATTAAATTTCTATATGGAAAATAAACATTTATACATACGCAAAAGCTAATTAAAAAAAATAAATAAAAAATAAAAAATAGT